GGGACCTCACATCGACTGGGGCCACTCCTTCAAGAAGGGGGAAAGGGAGGCGGCCATGCACTTGTTGCTGTGCAGCAGTGAGACAAGGCTGCGACAAGTCCACAGGAGTGAGAGGAGAAACTCAGCAGGAGGTCACGTGAAAACCAGGACGGGGGCATCTGCACTTCAGAGGAGGCCCTGGGATTTCTGGTGGCAGTACGCAGGGTAAATGGGAGGAGCATCTGGAAGGGATGCCCAACAATAACTGTCGGGAACCTAAGGGGAGAACGAAACCGGTTTTATGTTCCTGGGTAGACACTCGGAATAAGTTTCTACCCAACCCTCGGTGAACCATGCCATGGAATAAGTATTAACAATGAACTTAGACGCTGGCCTTCCAGGGAGCGTGGGATCCCCCAAAACCAACACCCGAAGGACTTAATGTGGACGCCTGAATGAATAAACTGTGCCCTACCTCAAAACTTCTGAAACCTTTGGACTTAGGACTGAAACTCCCTGAGGGGAAGGGAAGCAAGGGTGCCCACCTAAGACTGCGCAAAGGGTGGTCAATGACCTGGGGTAGGACCCCTGGCTTAGTGGGCATCCAATGACAGGGGACCTAGATTTGAAGTACCCTAAGGCTCAGTTGCTAACCTGCTGACTCTCACTTCTGTATTTTTCCATTGCTTCAGCTTGCTACTTCTGCATTGGTTTTCCCACCCAGAGCCACCAGATTCAAAATTCAAATACCGGCGGGAAGGTCCCTAGCTGTTCATCCCCCTAGTCAGGGTGTGCCGTTGCGTTGGGCTCGAAAAGCCACACACTCGCGGTTTGTTCCTTTATAAACTGGGGTTTGAGGAGAACTCAGATGGAGGGACATTGAGCTGACTCCTGGTCACTGGCTTATATGAAAGCTTCTCGTTTGGCCAGTGTGGTATGGTTCTGACTGACTCGGAAACCACCATCTATTTAGAACACCATTGCTCCCCCTGCATTACTATGACAGGTATGAATCTGATAGGCAAGCAGCTGCCCTTGTAATAAATAATACAGTAAAATTTGCCCTATGCTCAATGTAAACAGAGGTCAATCAATGAAGAAATCAATCTGTACCAAGCAACAACTCATGGATTGCAACGTACAGTTGGGCCATCCTCACATAAACTCAAAGCAGCAGTACCTTATACCCTGTGACGCTGGATGAATTGTTGATGTTATCGACACAATCGCTTCATACCACGGGATTGACAATGCTTTTCTTTTTCATTTCCCCCCTCCTTTTTGTTTCTATCTTTGTTCGTTTGTTTTTGTTTTCTTAGGTTGTTGTTTTTGTTGATTTTTGTTTTTGTCAAAATACAACTATCAAAGTAAACCAGAGTTGTTCATATCCCGTGTGCAAGCAGGTGGATACTGGGCTCCCACTTAATTCTGGCTCCGATCCCCGCTCCTGCTCCCCTTCAAGGGGACACCACAGAAGATAAGGGTGCAGGTGAGGGTGAGAAAGCAGAGGGCACCGGCTGTTAATTGGAGTAGTGTCTGGGGTCTTATAGCCTTGTTTTCAAACAAGCGGCCATCTAAGTGAGGCATCAATAAAGTCCACATAGAAGAACACCAGCTGTGTGATCCAAAGACGACAATGACAGAATATGTCTCAATGCAACACAGGGGAAAGCATTAGAGCTTACATTGTGATGAACGCCCAATGTACAGAAGGCTATGGCCAGTGGGAACCCAAAATCCATCTGCAGAGGCTCCAGTCAGAGGAAGCCTCTGGCAGATCCCCTCTGGTCAAAGGCGAGGGACTCGCACAGCTGTGCTTTCACAGAGACTACTGTCACCTTGATGACAGTCCATCAGACTACGCTATGACACTGAGCCAGTGGACCTCCCCCTTGACCCAACCTAAATTTGCTCTGGGAGTAAATATTTCTTGCTTGTTCCCTGACAGAAACTTCTTTTCTGGCTTTTTAAAATATCATGAGTGATCTTTTCTTTTTTACCTTTTTTTCCCTTTTATATTATTATTCTGATTACTTTCTTCTTGCTGCTCCATTCTGCTCTTGTTTTTGTTGCTTCTGTTAGGTTTCCCAGTTTATGAAGCACAGAAGGAATGGATGAATAGGGACAATAACCCAGGCAAGGCTGTATCAGAGCACTAGAGCTGTGACGATAGCTACACCACTTTTTTTAAAAAGTGACTTAAAATTCGAAGTGCATAATCTGTGAAATTTATATCAAGAAAACGACTAATTTTTTAAAAAGGAAAAGGATTGTCTTAGTGTTATCCACCTCACCCACACCATTTTGCACCCTCACCAGAATAAGTGTTCCACTTTCCCCATATCCTGAGCGGCATTTGATGCTTTCCATTTCTGTTTGTTGTTGCGGCTCATTGTTTGAATGCTTGCTTCTTAACCTCAGCCAACCTCGCTCCCTGCTGTGGAGTCCAGGCCAAGCCCAGCCACCCTGCAGGCAGGGAGACCCGCTCTGTGACTTAGGCCTCCCAGTGACAGCGCAGGGGCATCTCCGTGTGGTTTCCGCTTATGTCCCTCTGATGGCCGGTGACACTCAGCACCTTCCGGGCTCTCCATCACGTGGACGTCTTTGGTGAGCTGTCTGTTCAAGCCCTTTGCCTCTTTTACGAGTGGGTTATTTGCCACTTTTTGTTAAGCTGTCAAGGCTTTAAATAATTTTTGGTTGATTTGAGTCTTGCCAGATATATGGTTTCTAAAGACAATCTCCCAGTTGGTTGCTTGTCTTTGAACTTTTTTGACAAAATCTTTTTTTTTTTAATCATTTTATTAGGGGCGCATACAACTCATCACAATCCGTACATACATCATTTGTGTACAGCATATTTGTACATATGTTGACTTCATCATTCTCACAACACCCGCTTTCCACTTGAGCCCTTGGTGTCAGCTCCTCATTATTCCCCCTCCTCCCTGCTCCCCCCTCCCCCTGAACTCTTGATAATTTATAAATTATTATTATTTTTAAATTTTTATTTATTTATTTTTTTCTGTACAGCCATTTCACATAGGAGGAGGACACAATAAACCTCTCTCTTCAGATCATGGCAAAAATCACTCTATCCCACAAGCATAGCCACTATAAATTACTATTATTTTATCATATTTAAATATTTTTTAACCAATACAAATATAATTTATTGTATTAAACATACACCTCATCAATGAAACAGATATGTGAAGGTGTGCTAAATAGTTAAAATATAAACTTTGGCATTGCCTTTTGAAAAACAGCATTCTAAATGTTTATGAGACTCCATGGTTTCTTTTTACCTTGGCTGCTTGTGCTTTTGCTACTGCATTAGATGATCCATTGCTGACGATTAAGCTGACAGCATGGCCCCTGTTTGTTCTTCTAAGTATTTTATAGTTCTGCTCTGCACATTGAAAACAAACCAAACTGACTATTGAATTACATGATAGGTACATTACTTGCCAATAAAACTGTTGAAAAAACAACCCTAACTCACCACCATCAAGTCGGTGATGACTCACAGAGACCCTGTAGGACAGGGTGGAACTGCCCCAGAGAGTTTCCAAGACCATACCTGTTTCTAGGAGTAGAAAGCCTCCTCTTGCTCCTGGTGGTTTCAAACCACCAACCTGGCGACTGCAGCCTAACTTTTAACCAACAAAACACCAAGGGCTCCTTGCACATGAAGAGAACTGATTTTACATGATGAAATCTAGTAGCACTTGTTTTATTTTTAATAGTAAATACATTGGATAGATGGAAAAATAAAGCCTAGTTTTTTAAAAAAATCCACTACTCCCAGGCTCCTCCTTGAGCAAGTCCCTCCGGGCACACGAGGCTAGCAAAGGGGCCAACACGTTGAGTCAACAACACGTGTGTCAGCAACATGTGCATCAACAACACGTGTGTCAGCAACACGTTGGCCTGTGAAGGTCAATGGACCTCTTCCACAATGTTTTCTAGGTACATGCTTTTAAAAAGACCATCAGGTGAAAGACCGACTTTTATCTCGTTTCCCGTCCCACATGCTCCGCACCAGAGCAGATCTAAGCAAAAGACTTCTAGACAAGAAGTACACACGTGTACTTGT